CTGGACATGGAGGAGGCCCTCTTTGCTTCCTGCTCTACCCTTTGCCTCAGGAGGCCCCTGTCTGGGAGATCGGGCTCAGACTCTTCTGGGCCTAGCCCCAAACACCCATCCCTCTCGTTCTCTTCCCCTTCCTCCACTGCACTCCCCGCCCTCAGCCTGTGTGTAATGCCCACAGCGGTGTTTCTCAGGCTTACGGGCACACCAATCATTTGGAGACCTTAGTAAAATGCAGATTCTGGCTCAGGAAGTCTGGGGTACGGCTGAGAGTCTGTATTTCTAGATTTGCTCCCAACGGACGCAAAAGGTAATTCAAGAGAACCCAGAGCTGGTTCCTTGGCCTCGTTTGGGGTTACAGGGATCTAGAGCATTCTCCTCCTGATTCCACCTTTACCTAACTCACTCCTCCTCAACCCTCGTGGCTCAGCTTAAACACCTGTTCCTCAAAGAAGCCCTCGTGGCCCTCCTCAAGACAAGAGCAGGTGCCCTTCAGCTCCCGTTGCATTCTCCCGAGCGACTCTTACTTCTTCTCTAGAATACTCACCCCACGTAGCAGTCCTTCATTCTTGAGATGAGTTTTTACCCCCAACTTTTCTCTGCTTAGTGAAGACTACAGGCTCCAGGAAAGCAGGGACCAAAACGGTTCTGTTCATTCCCAGCCCCCAGCATCCAGCACAGGGCCTTGCACCTCATCAACCACTCTCGTGCTGGAAAGCTGCTGGCCTGGACCCCCCTGCTCCCCCCAGCCCTGCCCTTCCCCACTCTCAGTTCTCACAGCGCAGGCCGGTGGGCATGAGACTGCAACCTGGCCAATCAGTGCCTTCTATCTCTCCAGGTATAATGATTGGTTCAGAGAGAAGCATGTGACCTAAGCCAGGCCAATGAGCTCCATCCCTGGGCTTTTTGTTAGAACTACTGCCAAACAGATACTCTTATTCCCACTGGGGTTATGGCTGAGGGGGTGGGGGTGGGGGTGGAGGGTTGCTGTCACCATCCACAGAGAAAGAGCATGACAAAGCAGCAGAGAGGTGGAAAGAGGCCGATGCATGCACACAGTCATGCCTGCGGTCCAGACTGGTCATTACAAAGGCAACCTATTTCCTTTTTTGTTTAAGCCAAATTGAATTCTGTATCTGTCACTCTCAACCAAGAGTCCTGACTATTACAGCATTCAAATAAATACTGGGCATTGGATGGATGAAGTGAGTGAGTGAGTGAGTGAGTGAGTGAGTGAGTGAGTGAGTGAATAAGTAAAGCCTGCCAAGAAGACTCAACCACCCCTCTTTGAAGCCTGCGAGTTTGCCTGGCAAACGCATGCCGTCCCTGGGCACAGAGGCAAGCTCTGGGCTGGAGTTTAGAAGGTGGCAGGACTCTCAACATTACTCTCTACCCACAAGCCAACACCAGTACCAGCTCAGATCCCAACACCTGGGACCAGGCCAGGCAAACTGGTCGGCCCTTCAGTGCCCTCTGGAGACGCTACCAGGGGGAAAGCAGAGATGTCCTCCGTCAGCCGTGTGGCCACTCACTTCGGGACTCCTAATCCAAGCTGGGCAGTTAGGGAGTCCACACGGAATGGGAATGGGAAGGTGGGTAGGTTTGCCTGCGTCCTCTGAGGTGTGACTGTGTACTAGGTTGGGTCAGGGAGGGGGAGGCAGTGGGAAAAGGCTAGCCAATTGTTTCCTTATGAGTCACCCCCCTAGCCGAGCCCTAGGACAGAAAAGGGGGCTAGCCTAGCGGTCCCGTCCGATGATTCACAAGGTAGGTAACTTCTTCAGAGCAAAGTGTGAGAGAGGGATGCCTAGGCAGGGACACTGGACCTGAAGTCCCCCTGAGGCAGCGCAGGCCTGTGGGGCATCCTGCTTGGGTTGGGGGGAGGGCGGGGCGGAAAGTGAGAAGGTGGAAAGAGGAGAGGATTGTCCCCTGCTGCTTGCTGGAATGAGAGGGCCCTGGGCCTGGGAGCCTGGGCTGTGGTCTCCCCAGGGCACAGATTTATGAAGGAAGTGCCCGACCAGAAAAAAACTACTGGTCCCCCACCTCAGTCTCCCAGACAACTCTACCACAGGGATGAGGAGGCAGGGACATGGCCCAGAGCCATCTGCAGTGGGACAGAGGCAGGGAGAGCAGCATGGGGGTGTCATTTAAGGTCCATGAGGGTCTCATCTCACAGGAGCCCTCCCTCTCCACCCCAGCTCAAGCCAGTCCTAGGTGGCTGGCCCCTAAGCCACCACTGTATTCTACGCTGACCCCACTTCCTCCCACCTGAGCCCCTCTGTGCCACAGGGCCCTTCCCTAGTGGCCAAGGGCCCTGCCGACCCCTTGTAGGACCTGTGCATGCCCTCACCACCGTGGGCACAGCCACCTGCATCTTGCAGCCACCTCCTCCCACCACACCCTTGCAGCTTCATTAGATGCTGTCTCAGAGGTGCCAGGTTGCCCAGGCCCCACTGGACCGCAGCGGTGTCTGCAACCAAGGTGACGTCATGGTCCCTATACACACCCTCCCCACATGCTTCCCCTCCCCCCTCCCAAACTCTCAGCCCCTTACCTTCATGGTGGGAGGTGCAGTGAGAGGCGGGGACAGTGGCCGGTCTGAGAGGTTCACATCCGAGCTGTTGGCCAGCTCCTGCTTCCTGTGGAGGGAACAGAGATCCGGTGAGTGAGGGCCTGCCCACTGCCCGCCTCGCCCCTCGGCGAGCACTGGGCTCAGGGGCACAGGGTAACAAAGAGTGGGGTGCATGTTCTTTGCTGCGACCTGCTGCATTCTAAAGCAGAGCTATGTGACCCCAAGGTGCCTGCACCGCCAGCGACAGCATGGCCTGGGAAATGCTAGCAATCTGGCTCTCAGGTGCACACCAGGACCTGTGGCAGTGGGCCCCGGCATGTGTTTCTATGCCCGCGCTCGCCCTGCTGGAGTGTAAGAAGCATTGGTCAGAAGAGATACAGGCCTGGGGCTGAGAAGAAGGAGAGGAGGGGTCATCGTTGGGGAATGATCCTCCCTTAAACCCCTCGGTCCCTGCACACACACACACACACACACACACACACACACACACACACAGGCCCCGGGGAAAGGCGGACTTGGGCAAGATGAGGCCGCCTGCAGTGTGAGCTCCAGAGAAGACTTATTTTCGGCTGTTGCTGGCTGGGATGGTGGTGGGGCAGCTAAACAGAGTCACATCACCATGACGACATGGCTGCAACAAGTTCCCTACTCACACACACTCCCCACTTCCCATCTGGCCCTGGCTGGTGGCTGGGCTGTTAACAGCCGGGTCACCAGGTGGAATGTTTGGGGTGAGATAAGCCTTCTCGGCAACAGTTACGCAACAGGGCCAGCTGGACAGACCTGGGGAATCCCCGCGGCCCAGGGACTCAAGTGTCCTGGCCTCACACTGCCTCCATCGGGGGTGGGAGAGTGGGTGGGTGGGGGGGGGCACAGAGGAGACAAGGATAATGATGTTAAGGAGCCTGAGAAGAGAGGGCTGGGTTGTCAGAGCCCCTGACTCTGTAACTCTCTCCTTCTCCAGGGCCGAGTCGTCAGAAGAGTGGGCTCAGGGCCTGGGTCCCCATTTAAAAATGGCCAGAAGTTCCCCAAGTCACCTCGAGAGGATGCTTTTGTACCCCCAATCAGCCCGTATTCTGTCAGCTGGAGCTGCACCTCCAACCTCAAGCCTTCTTCCTAAAAGAAGCCCAGTCCTCCCAGGAAAGCCGGGACCTCCTGCTTCCAGAGGGATCTCTGGCCCTGGCCTGCTCCCCTCGGACCACAGGACACCAGCCACAGTGACTCTGTGGATACCATCTCAGCAAGGCCAAGGTCCAGGAAGAAAGACATCGGAAGGGAGGTGGAGCTAAAGACAGGGGAGATAGCAGGTTTGAGGTGGACAGGGTCAGAGGACTCCTCTGTCAAGCAGGTGTTCAGGCAGCCTGTTTATATGACCTCTGACTCCTGGAAGACCCAAGAAGCCAGGCTGGGCTCCCCAGAGCCCTGTCTACCCTGGCTCGGTCACTCCTGTGAGCTTGTCCTTGGAGCAGGTAGATAAGGAGGCCGCCAGAACCCCTGGTCTGACTGACACAGGAGCCATCTGGCCCCAGCAACCTCCGCCACACCTGCCTCCCGGGTCCGTGGCTGCATCTCCCTTCTTGGTCTCTTTTCAGGACCTTGGGCTCTGTGATGGCCAGAAGGGGCCCTCTCTCTCCTGACCCAGGAGCTAACCAGCACAGCCAAGACTCACACGGATGAACCAGATCCTGCCAGCTCTCAGCAAGAACCACCAGCCTCCCCCCACTTCACGGATGGATTTCGGACTTCCATGGGGTCCAACAGAGCTGCTCTGACCCAGGCTCGCCCCTCCCACCACTCTGCCCTCTCCTGGGCAGCCGCTGTTGCTTCTCGTGTTGAGAGAAAGGTGAGGTCGGTGAGCAGAGAGGGGGAGCGTCACCCTAAGCTGAGGATGAGGTGGCTCACCTGTGGGGCTCAGAGCCCGGGTGGTGCCAGCGCAGGCATGAACTCTAGTGGCGTTTGGTGAACTAGTGGTGACACATTGGGCTGCTAACCAGAAGGTTCAATACCACCAGCCACTCCGAGGGAGAAAACCTGGGCTTTTTACTCCTTTTACGCTCCCAGGAACTCCCAATGGCAGTTCTATCCCAGCCTATAGAGTCGATATGAATCAGCATTGGTTTTGGTTACTGGCCTTATGCTAACGCCAGGGCTCTGTCTGATACTCAGGGCAGGGGAGGGCAGGCACCTGGTCGGCACCCTCCGAGAGATCAGGACCCAGGGCGCAACAAAGCCTTTGTCACAACTTGAAATCTACCCTGCCGTGGTATCCACAGGGCCCAGGTGGTGGGTCCAAGGGAGTGTGAGCCATGCAACACCATCCCCACCCCAGCCATCCCTCCTACAGGCCAGCGGCAGGTATTTAAGAGCTAGCTGCCCAAGCCCCAGGTTCTAGCTTTAGCCTTGGAAAGCCAGAAGTACAAAACCAAGGCGGAGCAAAGCACCTGCTTCCACCTCACCGATTCTGCCCAGATTAGCTGTGCTCAACCTGGTCCAGCCCCAGGCCTCGTGACCAAGGACACGAGCAAGGGAGCCACTCCCAAGGACAGCCCGGGCCGCTGGCCCCGTCACTCTCCGGTGCAGAGATAAGCAGAGTCAGAGCTATGGGGTTCACGCAGTTCCACCCCTCCCCCTCCCGCCCAGGTAAGCACATCAAACACCAGAAGGTGAAACAGACTCCATCAGATCAAGGAATGACCTTGAATCTGCTCTCCTTTACAATAGGCAAATGGTAAATCATTAGTGATAGGCAAATGGTAAATCATTAGTGAAGCCCGGCGCCTTGATGTCACCTATGTAACCACGTTCTGGCCACCCACAGGATGTCAATGTGTGTCACATCCCCTGAGACTGGAAACAGCCCCTCTCCTGAAACCCAGTCAAATATTCTAGGGACACAGGGTCTGAGACCCACACAGGGACACAACAGGAACGGGAAAGAGGAGGGAGTGGCGATGGAGGACGCAAAGACCGGAGGGAAGACACAGGAGGGAACAGGAAGGTTGCGTTGTTAAGTGTGGTCCAGGCGGCTAGATGAGAAGTTTGGCCACATCTACGACTCATGCAGAATAAACCAATGTGTGGTGGCGTCGGGGTTAACCACTGGGCTGCTCACTGCAAGGTCAGCGGTTCACAACCACCGGGCGCCCCACTGTTGAAAGATGAGGCTTTCTACTCCTGTACACAGTGACAGCCCCAGAAACCCACAGGGCCAGTTCTGCCCCGTCCTATGTGGTCGCTGCGATCTGGCGTCAACATGGTGGCGGCGATTTCTAGAGATCAAAGTCTATTAGAGGTTACCGGAAGCCAGAGAAAGGGAGAGAGTGGATATTGCCTAGGGAAACTGAACTCTGTTAAAGATGATAGAAACCCTTGGCAATTGAAAGGGGTGGCTGGTGGCCGCACAGGATGCCGAACAGAATCAATGTCACTGAGCTCGTACAAGCTAAAAGATGTGGAAATAGTAAATGTTTTGTTCTAGAGCTACTTGCGGTACCATCCAGTGCCTCGTGGCTAAGATTGGAGGGCCAAGTCCCCCGGGGGGTGACTCCGAAGAAAGGCCTGGCCATCTCCTTCTGAAAAGGTAGCTGTGGAAAACCCTATGAAGCCACTCCACCGACTCTGGCTGCTGCGGGACAGGGTGTGGGCAGAAACCGGCTCTGGTTCTGGTGGCTGTTAGTTATTCCAAGCCCCTTCTGAGGAGTGGCGAGAGCCGGTATCAATGGGCCTGAGGGACTCAACCCAGGGCCCAGGCTGCGCCAGGTGATGCTGGTTGTCTCCTGCGCGGGGCAGAGAAGCAGGCTCAGTTGGTCATCACCAGCTTTGCCATCTCAGGAGTGGCTGGTGCTTTCGAACTGCTGGCCTTGTGGTTGGCGGCCCAGCACGCACCCACGCCGGGCTCCTCCTTTGGTCATTATCTTGTCAAAGTTGACTTCCTAAAAAATCAGTTGATTTGAGCTTTAAAAACAGAACCGGTTAATGGGAAATACAATGGATACAGGCGGCATGCAGGCAGGGCAGGGGTGATGGCGATGGTCTGGGAACAGCTGACTTCTGGACATGAACCCTGTCTCAGAGGAAGCAGCAGGTCGGGGCCAGGGCATTGTGCTCTTCAAAGCTCCCTGCCAGGGCTGTGGTGGGCAGCAGTGCGGAGCGGAGACCAGGGTGGCTAGGAGAGGACACGGCAGAGGAGGAACGTGCTGAGAGGGGCTCGACTGTGGTCCTGGCCACAGAAAGGGAATGAGGGGTCTGCAGCACATCTCAGAGGATGCGGTGACTAAGAGCAAGTAAAGGTGGAAGAGGGAGCCCAAGACCTCAGAAAGACCCCCAGTGTCAGAGAGGGGGTGCCCTGCTAGATGACTCAGACTGAGGAGGGAGGACCCTGCAAGAGGCAGGTGATAAAGGGTTCACTCTGGACAGGTGGCGAGTCAGGCGCCCTGGGAACACCCGGATGGGATGAGGAGAAACTGAAGCCTGGGTAGAGATACAGGTGTGGCGAGGATGGAGGTGGAGGTAGAGGCCATGCCGTGTGTCGGCGGGTGTCAGAGATGAAATGAACCCTGCCACAAAGGATCCCCACAGATGTTTTTTCAGAAGATCACCAGGCCTTTCCTCCAAGGCGCCTCTGGGTGTATTCAAGCCTCTCATTTTTCCTTTGAGCCCCCAAGGCCTCCCTGGGGAGAACGTATGGGGCTAAAAAGTACGGAGGAGCAGGGGTCCTCCAATGGGGCAGGAAAGGAGAGGTGAGGGAGAGGAGTCGAGCAGGAAGGTGTGGAGGGTGGAAGCCAGGGGATGGGGAGCTGGCCCAGAAGGCAGCCACGGGCCAGTCACCTCCTTTCAGGTCTCCTGAGACCTGAAGCCACACGCTACAGCCACCCAGCCCTGAAATCACTCTGCATCGCTAGCAAACTGCAGACTAAGCAGCTTCCCTCACGTGGCCAGTGGGTTTTGCTTGGCACTCCCAGGCCTCCGTGGAGGGAGCTATATCACAATCCATCAAAGGCGGCCAGTGAAGGTCACACTGAAGGTCACAGCTTCAGAAAGCTTCAGAACACAACATGGCAAAACCAT